TTTCCAGAGGCTGTTGTGTGTAAACGAGTTATAGCAGGTCGATCACTTAGACTTGGTCATTTTAAAAGGAGCTCCATGATGAAAAAGTCTGGGAGCTCGGGCTCTAGAGACACTGTCCTGTTTAGAGAAACGTCTGAAACATGCAGGACCGGTCTGAGAAGTTCTTGGGGGGTCCGGTTCATCCGGGTTGAGCTCCTGGTCTGGGCTCAGCCCGGATGTTTGTGTCAACTTGGACGTGTTTCTGTTAGAAACCAACAACAAACTAAACACAGTTACGTGTAAAGTGTTGGGGTTTAATATTGGCTCATGCAGCCGTCTGTCCTTTGGGGCAGCTGTGGCTGAGTGGTTAGATCAGTCATCCTCCAGCGGGAGAGTTGGGGGTTTGATTCCACCAGCATTCACATGCTGAAGTGTCCCTGGGTAAGACACTGAACCTCTCATTTCCTCCTATGTGTGTCCTATATGAACGTGATCCAAAGTACTGATTAATCTGCAGATCGTCTTGTAGAGATCTAGTTGAGTGCTGTGTGAATGTGGTGTGGAGGTAAATGAGGGCACAGATTGTGTTGTAAAGTGCTTTAAGTATCTTAATTACCGTTGGATAGAAAGGTGCTATACAAGTACAGTCCATGACTGATGTCACAACTGCTAAGCTGCTAATTTTTCATAACTAGAGAAGATGGCAGAACATCCCTGCCTGGACTAACGTGAGGCCTGTTTGCTGTCCTGTCATGCAGGGGTCAGTGTGGCATCGGCTGGGTTCAACGGTCACAGCGGTTGAGTTCCTGGGCCATGTTGGTGGCATGGGCATCGACATGGAGATCTCCAAGAACTTCCAGCGCATCCTGCAGAAGCAAGGTCTTAAGTTCAAGCTCAGCACCAAAGTTATGGGAGCCACCAGGAGGCCAGATGGCAAGATTGACGTGTCGTGAGTCCGTGGAAACGAGATTCTGGTTTTTCAGACCTGAAGCGGATTCAGTATGTAATCAGAAGGGCGTGATGTTTCAGAGTGGAGGCTGCAGCTGGAGGGAAGAACGAGACGCTTACCTGTGACGTGCTGCTGGTCTGCATCGGCAGAAGACCATATACCCAGAACCTGGGTCTGGAGGCTGTGGGCATTGAGCTGGACAGCAGGGGGCGTATACCTGTCAACAACCGCTTCCAGACCAACGCACCCAGGTAACTCTGACAGCCTGTTAACATTCAGGGCACCATCTGCTGCTTTTGTCCCCGTCCTGAAGCCAAAAGGGGGAAATGGAAATCCACACGTCCGTCTGTCCGTCCATGAAGGATGCGAGTGAAGTAACATGGAAAAATGAGCGAGGTCTACATGAGGCTGCATCGATGTGTAAGAAAGGTTCTTTTAGTGAAATGGGTTGCCAGGCCGAAGTCTAAGATGGTCACTGCCAGACCACCTCGATCATTTACGCTAACTCTGATTTTTAGTTTTTGATTAAAAGTCAATTTTCCTCATGGTTGAAGATTAACCATTAAAACATGGAGGTTTCTTTTTCCTGCTGCCTCCTCAAGAGTCTCGTTAACGTTGTAAAACAGATCCGATTGTTGAAGTCCCATTCTTTTATAATTGAACAGGAATTAGTTTAATGGTTCTGCAGTGAAGACATGAGCGTGTGTGATCAATATAGACACTTCCCCTGAGCACTAACTTTGTGCAAGTGCACAATAACAGATCTGCGTGTCGTCACTGTAACTGATCCAGTTGTAGAATGATTTGGATCCAGCAGGTTAATCATTTTCCTCTTCTCAGTATTTATGCCATCGGTGACGTGGTCGCCGGCCCCATGTTGGCCCACAAGGCTGAAGATGAGGGCATCATCTGCGTTGAGGGCATCGCCGGCGGCGCTGTGCACATCGACTACAACTGTGTTCCCTCCGTCATCTACACGCACCCCGAGGTGGCCTGGGTGGGCAAGACGGAGGAGCAGCTCAAAGAGGAGGTGAGAGTCGGTCCTCGTACAGCGGGACTCCATCATTGTGTCACACACACACTTTAGACTTTGTGAACACCCCCCCACAAATAAAAAGAAAATGTCATTACTAAATCTGACCACAGAACAGTTTTCCACTTAGCCTCAAAGTTTCAATGAGCTCCGGTCCAGAGAAGGAGGGAGTTTTTTGGATGGTCATCACTGGAGCCCGACCGATGTGGAAGTTTCAGCTGTCGCCAGTGACCATATAATGGCTGAAAACGTTTAAGCTCTGTCCACCCCCCAAAGTCTAAGGAAACGGCGAGTGGAGCGGGGCTTGTTTATTTAGCACAGCTGTTAGCAACCATGAAGCTAAGCTAATCAGATCCACCTATACAAAGTCCCACCGCAGGTTTACAGGTGGAGCACTGCTCATAGAAACAGTCTTCCTAACATGAGGTCACATTTTCAATCCTCCACTATTCACCATAAAGTGATCAAGTGTGTTACAAAAATATAAATTAAACACACAAACGTCCTCCCTGTTCATTGTTCCAACAGTCAGTTACGAATGGTGAAGGTCTAATTAGTATTGATCGCAGCAGAGTTTATTTTTCTTTGTAGAGATTTCAGACAAACGTTGCATTTCATTGAGGACGACAAAGATTATTTTACTAACACTGGATGTTCTCACGAACTGAAATCTCAGACCGACAGAACTGGTTGCTTTAACAGCTGACAGCGGGTCTAATGTCGTGAAGGCGGTGCAACTGAACATTAATGTTAGCATGCTAACTTGTGAGGCACGTAGCTAATGACAAGCAGTTTAGAGGATTGAAAATAATTTATTTTTGATTTATTTTACAGATCAGTTAAAATAAACTTGTGCTCTGTTCAGCAACATACACTACAGCATTGCTCGCTGCTTCGGCTGTGCTGAAAGTGAAACTTAAGCGAACAGCCACGACTTGAAAGTAGTCTTCATGCGCCCTCTGCTGGATACATTTTACAGTTACAGCTGGTTACAGTATTTTAGACGTGCAAATTAGAAGTTTTTAGATCTGCATAATGGGACATTTATCACCGTTATGATATTTCTCCAAACATCGATATCGGTCTAAAATATCGGCCCTACCGATATATCGGTCGGGCTTTAGTTATCACATATGGCTTCTTCTTTGCACGATAGAGCTTTAACCTGTATTTGTGGATGGCACGGTGAAGTGTTTCCAATTATCCTGATTAGTTACAGAGTGCTTCACTTTCACAGCTTGTTGTCTCTGTCCCAAAGTTTTTGAGTTGTTGCTGCCATAAAGTTCAAATTCTACATTTTTTCCACCAAAAACTCATTTCCCAATTTTATTTGAAATATTCATTATGTTCTATTGTAAATTCTATATTTTTTTATGAGATTAGCTGTTTACTGCATTCTGTTCCTACTTACATTTTACACAATATCACATTTTTTGTAATCGTGGTTCTAATTTCTGCAAGTTTTATTAAAATTTGTTCACTGGTTCACACAATATTTTGCTAACAGACACATACACAAACATGTTCAAACACCAACAAAAACATTGTCTGCCTTTCTGCAGTTTCTGATAAGAATTTAAAACGTATCTGCTTTGTAAACCAAAGAATAGTCTATTAATTGCACATCTGAAGAAATTAAAGTCCGCTAGATCCACTAGATCCACTAGATCACAGGAAATTAACTTTTTTCTGCACAGTCCATGTTTCAGATGAGTCCAAGCTGTGCATTTTTCAGGAGAACAAATGAACTTAATGTTCAATATGGATTAAGTTATTCATTCAGTCGTGTATTTTCTGTCGTCCTCAGGGCGTTCCGTACAAAGTTGGCAAGTTTCCTTTTGCAGCGAACAGCAGAGCCAAGACCAACGCAGACACCGACGGCCTGGTGAAGATCCTGAGCCACAAGGAGACCGACCGGATGCTCGGAGCCCACATCCTGGGAACCGTAAGAACCCCGAACAGTCCTCGAGTCCGAGCTGATCGCGGTCCACTTTACACACAACGACCAGAATTATTGATGAAGATTACAAAAAAGATGGTGGTCACATCTATTGCTCGTCTCCTAATTAATAAAAAAAAAATAATAATCTGCCAAAAAATCATTTAAACTGAACAGTTATGAAAAATTTCTATTGAAGGTAGAACTCAAACACAAAGGACAGCTCTACTTTGATGAAACAAAAATGTTGTCATCTTCTTCTTCAAGTTCCACGTTGGACCCAAGAGGACCATGGAGCACATGTCCAGTCCTGATCGTTCTTCGATGAGAGAGTAACAGAATCAAATCCAGAGTAAATCAGGATTTATTCAAATATTTACAAAGACATTATAGCTGCTGCACGTGTTACACACAGGCCTTTGTAACTCATGCCAGGACTTTGGACCACCAAGGACCCCAAAGGGTCTTGAGCCCCCGTTTAGTTTCTGCTTTGAAAGAACCGTTACTCATATTACGCTGTTGTTTTTGAGAATAGACTCAAATGAACTTTCCAAGTGCAAGAAAACTAAAAACATCGACCCAACAAACCAAATGCATTAAACCCATT